ATTTATAGTGATATGATTTTATTTATAAAGGTGTATGCATAGTGGATTGATATCTCATTGGATCCATCTCGGTCCACCTATATATTTTGTGTACAATATTATACAGAGTGAATAAGCATTTAATAACCGGCTACACTAATTTAAATGATCAATGTTTGTAATTAATTTAACTTTAAATGCTATAGTAAAAATAAATACTTAGGTATAGGTATAAAAATATCAGATGTTAGTCACATTTTCTCCATATGTCATGGCTTATTATGACCGAACCATCTAATAAACTTATTCTCCCTCAGCATATGTCTTGTCCACCATCGGTACCAATCACTAATGAATTGATTTCTTATTCTGTTCTCACTAAAATCACTCCACACAATAGGTATTAGGTATACTACCGTCCACCTTAGCATTATCATCTCTGCTACACTTATATTCTGGTCATTGTGCTGTGTTTTATAATTTACTGCGTTCATTGGTCACTGCCAGCATCGACATTCCGGTATTATGAACACATCGATAATTCATTCAACTGGATCACTACCCTCATAATTTATTGGTATAAAATCCTACGACTTTTAATTCGACGGCGTCACCTCTTACAGTCACATCACAAAGTACCTGATTCTCACCTCTTCCACTTCACATCCGTCATCCACACATTATGTTATAATGAATTTAAAAATTAAACTGAGACAATGATAGATGGTGAGCCAGCAATATTATATTATTACAATAATATTATGTTTGTTATTAAATAAAATATGAATAAAAATATTATTTTCTTTTGGTGACTCCTTAGTCCTTCCCCCCCTAATGTATATAAATGTGTAAGTTGTCCCACAACTACAAAAATTTTGAACCACCCTGATGATATATTATATTATGATAGTGATGTTTTATCTGAATTAATTTTTGCGTTGTTGTGCACGTTGCAGGTCTAGATCCGGCCAGGCCGCTTGTGGACAGGTACGGTTCGGCCGAGTTCCGGTTGACCAGGGACGACGCGACCACTGTTCAGGTGATACACACGAACGCTGGATTCCTCGGCGAAGCACCACAAGTGGGACACGTCGACTTTTGCGTTAACGGCGGTCGTCTGCAACCGAGCTGCGCCAAGGAGCCCAGGAATATCCGTAATAATAATTATTGCTCGTCGCCGATCTGGCGGAACCATCCATTAGCACAACTAAGATGTAGGGTCACCATTTTCCTATAYTAAATACAAACACTGAAATACGTATACTATACCTAATATATACGACGACTATATTATACAGACGACTACAATGTTACCAA